CTAGTTTTACGACAGAAACGAAGGCAGCTGGTTGGCCGTTTCGCAAAAGCCAGGTGAAAACGTTGAATGTCCGACGCGTTTCCAAAGGCCGGGATCTGTTTTACCGAATCTCGGTTCAGCCTTGCGCTCGGTCAGTTTCAAGGTGACAGGCAAAGGAATCGATACTCTCTTCACTCTTAGCGCTGTTAATTGCAATTTGAAATCGAAAATTGAGAATTATTTTCAAACGTGAAAAGAATTTATTATTAAACCGCAAATAATACGGAATATTCTTCAGGCAGTGACATGGAAGAAGTTTTATGTATAATATTTATATATAAATTATACAAATAATATAATAATATAACGAAATTAGATTCAGAAACTACTAATGCAAATAAAAAGTTTATTAAAATGTATCATTTTCAAATTGTAATTTAAATACGTTATAAATGTGTGAAACCTGAAATTGATTTATTATAATTTATACACTGTTACGTAAAAAATATATGCTTTCAGATTTATTTAGATAACTGTACTTGGCAGATATATCATGACATATTGTATCGAGTAACTTTTCTTTATTATGTAACTCCTTTATTTCGAAGTTCGCTGCTTATAAACAATATGCACTTCAATTCTTCACAACTGATTCATCCTATCTATTAAATTAATTACATAAACGTTCTTTAATTGACGTGATTATTCTTACATCACCGAAAGTAAAATCGCAGACAGTGGCTATAATTAGAGTTTCAGCGCGTGTTGGCTGGTCCGTTCTATCTCATTCTACTCCATAAATGCATGACCAGTCTATAGACCGACAAAGCTGCCGTGACCGTTTTTAGTCAAATTCATCTTATCGATTGCGCGATTTATACCACACAGATAGGGGAAAAAATTGCGAATGTGTTCTAGCAACCGCAACAAAAGAGAATAGGATATTGTAAGATTTTTCAGTCGTGTCTTAATCTATGTGGTCACTGCTTCTATCTTCTATAAACTTATAAACTGGAATTTGTAAAAAAAAAGTAACTTTTTTAAGCTATGTATCTATAATATATATTAAGAAATTATTGTCGTACATTTAAACATTCGTATAAATTAAGATATATTTATAACAAGAAAATTTAAAATATATATACTTCTCTAATTTCGTTTCTATAAAAGTTATAAATATAATTAGTGAACAAGTCTAATAAAAGTACAGTATAAAAGAAATTTTGTAAATTTTGTTCAATGTTTATTCATCGACGTACTCGATTCGCTTTATTTCCATAGGAGTCACGATTCTTCAAGTGCAGTAGTTTCGTCTTGAAAAGGACAGTCATCCGTTAACTACAAGGTAGTAAGCAACACAGGCAACGTTACTTCTAACGGTAGTTCAAGCTTGACATTTGAACTTTGAAACTTTTTTACAGACAAGAAGCCGAAGGACAAAGAATTATTACATTCAACAAATATGCTACTGCGAAGTCATGGACTGTTGTTGTTCTTTTTCAACTGTTGCTTATCCAGAATTTGTACAAAAGTCGCTTCATATCCCTACACTTTTTTAAATGATTACATAAGAATATAATAAAATTGAATGAACTACTCGTTTGAAAATAGTAAAATAAATAAGAACATTACATCAACATACCATTTTGACAAATAATGTAAGAATACAAAGAACACGAAAGCAAGCAGAGCAAATATAGAAAACAACCTATATTACACAATGATAGGAATTTATTTTCAAAGTAGACTAAAACTGTAGAAAGACTAACGACATTATAATTATAGAATGTCAAATACAAGCTCCACTTTTTCTTTCCTTTCACACTCTTGCTTTCATTATTTTCTCAACGATTCTTCACCTGTTCCACAGTATTAAGAAATAAATGCCCCCGTGTATGCTCGAAATGTGTGTCGCCTGTATTAAAAAGTCATTTCTCTAGCCGTCATTTAGAAAAACTTAATTCCTCGAATGAACGTAAGTGTAACGGGAGTTGCAGAACTCGTTGAGTCGGTGATCCCGTATCACTCGAAGAAAAGTTTTCGATGGAAATCGATGGAGATAGTTTCCACCAATCGCCGTGCACTCAGGAAGCACTATGAACGCTACTGAATTTAGTTACAAATGTGCGTATATCAGGTGTATTCGTTAAATTATTTCAACTTGTAAGAACACCGTACATTTTTGTTGCACAACCTGATTATCTCCATTTCTACCTTTACATAATAATTTCACCGCGCAGAACTGTATCGCGTGTTGAATACAATTTTTCGTCCGTTTAATCGGGGATTATTATTTATGCATGCACACGAAGGTAGGCACTAAAAGATCTAAATTAAACATTGCTTAATTCATACATACCCTCCGCGAAATATCACGTGCTTAATTGTAATTAAACGCTCGGCGTAATGGAGTAATAACTGTATTGATAATAATGTTAGTATACTCGAAGTATGAAGAGCAAGTATTAAATAACAGGTTAGTATACCGCAAGTATTCGGAGCGAGTACATAAATATTAACTTTTTATGAAGCGAAATTCATGGAATTCCCTGTTGCACATTTCATAGTATTATTCAACGATTGTTACGTGCGTACATGTAATGACTTAATTAATTAGTTTCGATATATTTAAATCATAGTTATAAAACCGTTTCCTCTCTTTCCATGCAGAAATGTTCAATTCTATGGAAATTTATTGTTATTGCAGTTTGAAATGATCTATTTTAAGGTACTCATTAAACTTATTATTACATAAGCCCCTTATATTTCATTTTCTCTATGAGAATGGTCCCATTTGATTCTCCTACGTAATTTAGACAACTGGGAAACTGTAAAATTGATATAATATACATACTAGTTTCATATTTCTTGCTGAAACTGTTTTTATTCATAAGTTTCTATCTGTCTGCGGAGTTTGTAGATTCATGTAACGATGTAACATGTCGTCGAGTACGTTCTGCTCGAAATATGGTAAAACCAGAAGTCGAGTTAAAAGTGTAAGTTATCACGGGATATTTCATGTTTTGTCCACTGGAAACAGTGACGTACGGCACGATACGTGTGCTAATGAGACACATATGGTGACCCAGAGTGCATAGGGATTGTATAAAGCATACAGTGAAAGGTTTAACCCGAACAATAAAAATTCATCAGCTCTAGATCGGCGGTCCGATCGGGAACACAAGAATGATTTTCAAGAGTCATGAGAAACTGGAACAACCTGCCAGGCAACGTTGTACTATATGTACGTATTACTGCAATGGTAATACAAGAGGACACGGAGACAAATTAGAACCATTCTCCTCGATCAAAAACTCGGGCTCGGGTCACGTCGCGGCGAGTCATTTCTATTTATCACCTGCAACTCTCACCTATAGTAATTAACCTCTTGGTTTATGATTTCTTTCATATCTGCACTGAACAAAATTTATTTATTGTTTATAATTCATTAGAAAAAGAAAAGGCCTCTATGTTTATTTTATTTTTTTTTGTACAACTACGACAATTTGCAATTAATCGAGTATTTTTATTGAATTATAAGAAAATTTGATGATTTTAAAGGTACGGAAGGTACGGATAAAGGAATTGATTTATTGTTTATAATTGATTAGAAAAGAAAAGAACTTCACCTTTATTCTATATTTATGTTTACTCTAGAGTACAACGATTCATAACAAAAATAATATTCCATTTAAACGGAAAGGAATTGTGTGATATTTGTGTTTGTTAATAGCTGTTTGATATCTTCACTATGAGTCTGGCACAGTATTGTAAGGCCAAAGGTTAATCCCAGTTAAACGTTTTGATAAGAAAAACCCATAATTTTCATTAAATCCAAACAAGCTTGAAGAGTCAACAGTTTCTTAATGAATATCGTTGCTTATATACAATTACAGCGAGCCACGTAGAAACTTAACGATCAATCAATGAACTAAGCTCTCAGTTAACGCGTTTAGCGCCTCGTGGATCATCGATGAATCACGTGCGACTTTCTTGTCAAGCCATAGTATATTTTTCTTAAAGAACATGTACGTTATCTAGAGTCATATGTTATTCTAATTGTTTCGAATATTTATTGAAGGTATTTAATAAATAAATTCTTGATAGGATGTATTAAGTTTAAATAATAATTTCTCATTTTTTAGAATAATGAATCAATGAAGATAAATTATCAGAATAATATTAAAATTAATTGCAATTAGTTATTCACAATCTCTCGAATAACTACAAATAACTGAACATGAATTATTCGAACACATAGCGACCAATTTGCTCGAATAAATGCCTCAAACAAGCACCAACAATGGATCATAAACCCAAAATCACGTAGACTTAGTAATATCGATCTTCAATTCCAAAATAAAATATTTTTCATTTCCTACTCTTCCGAATATTAAGTCTAACTTGATTTCGGCAACAAACTCTCTAATCCATCTATCACCAGTTCCCCTATTTTTTCCAACCTCGGGAAGAATAAACTTCCATTCCAAACATTCGTAATACAATCTTACACACATATACCCGCCAAACATACATATCACTCATAACACTGCAACGTTAAAATTGTAACTATTCCTTATTACTTACTAGAGGTGTATCCCAGAAAAATCCTACTGATACGCAGCGCGTTATTCTAACCGAGACACGCGACAAACGATTAATCTTCAAAATGATTTTTCCACCCTAAACCCGGCCGCCGACACGATGGAATGCGAGGTCCGATTTCGCCGTTAAAACGCGTTGCAGGTCGCCGGTCGTCAAAGTCGTTCGCGGGTCCGGAATCGGTCCGCGATCGATTTTCCAGATTCCCGAGAAACCAGGGCAGCCTGGTGGGGAATATTTAGGGGATATAAGGTGCTGTAACAAGACAAGGCGGCTGTATATACAGGGAGTCGAATAGATAGTGAAAGTCCCCCAGAGCTAACAGGAGTGTAGAGGGCAAGAGGGGGGTAGGAACGGGGGACCCCAGTAAGGTATATGAGGGCCTCAGTTCGAGCAACCGCTGGTACTCTAGCCTCGCTGCCTACTTACATTCACACACACTAACACAACTCCACCACCTGGAACACAATGCACACCGTCTCGACGGTACGTATAGACAACAAAAGTGCGGCATCCGTCGTCCCATAATCGTTGAACCCTTTCATTAAATTCGTTGTTGTTCCTCGAAAGAGAAAAAAATCATAAGAACCGGGTCATCCGTCATCGTAACACTCGTAGAAACCGCCATCACTGTACATTGTGACTCGTCGTTGTTCGCCTAAATTTGATCGGTACAATCTACGGACTGGGAACGTGGTCTCGCGTGTGATGTGATCGTTCCTCATCGTGATGGGGATCTGTGCTTGTGATTTGTGCATTTTACTGGTGCACTAGGAAAGAGAGACACGCCGAGAGATTGGATCTCGTGTAACGTCTCGCTGCGAAAGAATCGCCGCAGGCGGTCACGGAAACGATTCGGCGAGAGTAATTCGGTGATAACTGGATGCTTGATCTGTTGTTGAGAGAGGCTTGTTGGGGTTGGCGGGGTTCGCGTGTTGACTGTTGGTATTCGTGGAAATCTCGTGGAAAATAATTGGTCTGATTCGAAACTTGGTTTCAGGGAGCATTAAATAGATGGATCTCGGATTTTATAAACGTTTCTGGCAATTTTTGTTGATTTTGGTTGACGCAATATTGTTCTAACTTCCAACATCTGTATATATATATATATATATATATATATATATATATATATATATATATATATATATATATATAAAAGTTGTGTTGGTAATTAACTTAGTGATCGATTAACGCGGCAGTCAAAGACGTTTCGATAGATCAAGATCGGCTCTAACTCGATCGACACCGCGAGCACGATGAAATCCACGCTGCCGCGTATCCAGTTCTCGCCATTTCACCGCGAGATCACAATCTGTCCGTGAAAACCATTAGGAATTACGATTACGGTTGCCCATTACCGCTATGAACGACAACCCGTTACCCAACCGCGTCTTGCAAGACTCTGTTTTGTTGCTTTCTGTTTCACGCTTGTCGAAAAAGAAGAGAAAACGAAAGGAAAAGAAAAAGAAGGATGAAAGTGGTTTTCGCCGCGTGGCCAGTCCACGCGAGCGCGCCACCAACTTGTTTTCTCCGGCCGCCCACTCGCGAGAAAGAAAGAAAATTATATAATGAGTTACGCCAAACAGGAACACATTCGAGAATTATGTCGGCCAGAATGCGTAGCGGTAGAAACCGTTTTCTCGCTCGTGGCCGTTCGCGCGGAACCGCAGGAAACGCGGTTCACGGATGGAACTTCGATCAAACTTGTCAAACTTTCGATAGTAATTTACTGGTAGCCGGTTTTCGTCGACTTCTGTGTTCATGTTCGAAGGACACGTTATTCATTGGATTGTTCCTGTAGTATGATCGAAATTATTATAGAAATTCGATATTCCAATAAACTTGAAGAATAGTACTATCTAATATAGCGTAGTTCAAGCAATGATTTAGTAATATTTATTTTTCACGCTTGCGTTTTGCTTGGGTCTTTCACGTTTTCTAATTCTCTGGAACATTGTTTCGATTGTTGCATTAAACAGTTTCTGGTGTTTCACGAATTAATTTCATTAGCGATTCTGTTGACAATTTATTCTTTGTGATTACGTGATTTGTGATTTCCTTCGTTTCAAATAATGGTATTTTATTTTATTATTTAACTGATTTCATGAAAGTGAAATAGAATTAGTCGTGAGCAATACTGTATGTCAGCGACGTTAGACACGTTTTTTCTCCCTCGAATTGCCAGTCACGATCAAGAATCCGGTATCCTTCGAGTGCGGTTATCTCGTCGTCGTGGTGTAATAAAGTCACGTCTGGCGGTTAAGGCTCTGGTAACGCGGAGGGTCATGCATCACCGATCTCAGACCTTTCCGCGAGTAATTACGGTTTATGAAGTCCGAGATTAACGCTTTACGCGATGCTGACCGCAGCGACGATTAAATTTATTACGTTCCTGATGCCCGCACGCGGGCATGACACTAGTTTCAATGTTGAAAATCACGATAAGCACAGATTGCACAAAAGATTCTTATAAAAACTGCGGAGCGCGAAATTTTAATTTCATCGTCCAATTTCTTTCTCTATGGAACCTAGCGATAAGAGAACAGAAGGAGCAACCATTACTATAATTAATGCAGTTACGGCTACAATTAGTATAACAGCTGAATAAATGGAAAAAAGTGAAATCAATTGACATTTTCCTTGAGGGTCGTAACATTTATTGTGACAATAAACGATTCCCTCTAAAGACACTTAAGAATGTAACAAATATTAATTAACCCGAATACTTAAATGTTACCAATCATTTCAGCAGTTCGCTATACAATTAATTACTTAAATTCCCCCACCATATTTCACACCACCCAACAACCAAGATTAACATCATCCACTTAATCCCCAGGTAACACTACTGGTAGCTGCGATACTCGCAGTATCGGCTCAGCAATACCAACAACCAGGTGGCAATTATGTAGACGACTACTCAGCCTACGAGCCAGCGCGGCCAGCTCATCCAACCCCCAGAAGCTACGCAGCGGATGCGGCACCGTTAAACAGACAAGCAGCACCTACCACCCCTAAGCCAACTCCAGTAGCAATCCTCAAACAGATCAACAGGCACAATGAAGACGGCTCTTACACCTACGGCTTCGAGGGTGCTGATGGTTCCTTCAAGATCGAAACTAAATTACCCACTGGTGACGTGAAGGGTAAATACGGGTTCGTCGATGACACCGGGAAAGTCCGCGTGGTGGAGTACGGAGCGAACCAGTTCGGCTTCCAGCCAGCTGGTGAGGGTATCACAGTGGCTCCACCAACGTTGGTAGACGAGACCACCAACAGAGAGGCTCTGGAGGCTCAGGCCTACCAGCAAGCGAACCAGCAGGCTAGGGCTCCCCTTAGATCCGCACCTGCGCCTCAGCCAGCCCTCCAATACGAGCAACCTGCCTATCAGCCACCCCCAAGCCACACGCAGGCAGTGTACCCTGCGCAAGCACCCAGACAACAGGCCCTGCCCAAGCAGCTTTTCACTCCCTCTGGCGGTGTCCCCCAGCCTCCCAGTTCTAGACAGTCCCCAATCCTCCAGCAAAATGAGGAACCGTCACCTCCTTCCCAATTGTACAATCAGGGACCAGCTCAATTCGGTCCAGCGCCCATCCAAGAACGCCGGTCTCAGCCACAGCCTCGCAGTCAGAGCGGCGGAATCCTGGACCAGTTAGCTAGAGATTACGCTCTGCCCCAAAACGTAGCACCGCCATTGCACGACATCAGCTTCGGTTACTACTAAGTCTTCTAGTCCCTCCTGTGTCCTTCAGGGCGGTCCATGTGTCGTTCGGTTTGGTCTTTTCTCGTATGATCGTTTTCCGAAGACGCGACGCTTCGACGCTTGCTGTGGTCATCGTCGCGTGCTGATCGTTCAATTAGATTCTCGTGGATCACGTGATCGTTATTGAATCAATGCAATGTCTGTGGTCATTGAGGATCACGTGACTATTGTTAAAATAGCACGCTATCTGTGATCCTCGTGGAACACATGACTAATATTGAATTAGTACGGTATCTATAGTCCTCGTGGATTACGGAATTATTGTAAAATTAGTACGATGACCGTGATCCTCGAGGACCACGTGACGATTACTACACTGGAGGTACACGTCAAGGATCCCGAGCGTCCGGAAAACGATTCGGAATGATTTTTGATCACGCACGATCGTCCTCATCGATTCCCATGATATTTTTGTGTCTATTGTTTTCTTGTAAAGCGTGGAAGGACGAGTTGATTAATTATCCTTGATCCTTGTTTCGGTAATTAGAAACTTTTCTGCTTACCAAATCGCGTTTCTGCTTCCTCGAGAAGCATTATTCTTGCCATTGGACAAAGATTGTTGGGAAAATATTCGAGAAAGTGACTCAAAAATTGTTACTATCGTGCAATGGAATTCGCGAAATGGTCATTTGCATAGTAAATTCTTGTTTGTTGGTGTCCTTTCATTTTTATTTTTGTTTAAACAGTTTCTTCCTGCGTGGACGATTTCTTGGTTATATTGTAAGAATAAAATACACGTTTTGTTAAGGATAATAATCTGTACACTCTGCAAAGTTTCTCGTTTACGTTTTAGGTAAGAGTATCGTGAAATACATTTTGGTAAATAGATGTGAGTATCATTTGCACCGTGGACGAAAGATAATTTAACTCTTTGAGGACGAATGTTGTCTTGTCGACAACATCGATATTTGGTATCTAAAATCGAAAGTTACAATCTAGTAATTTCATTATTTAAGTAACAACAGATCAGCCTATAATTTTCTCCTTTTCTAGTATTTAAGGGTTTGACGTACAATTAAGCTTCCCATGGAAAAGATTTTTAGTATTTCAATAAATCATCGTTCGCAAAGGATTAAGGAACGATGTAAATAAAATTTTCCGAACCACGGTAAGTGCACGTGCTGACTCGGACCTTAGGAAATGCAGTTTGCATGCGTGGTCGCAGGGTTACCGTTACAATATCGTTTCAAGGAGAACCTCGTATTGTCGAGCGTCTTCGGGCTCGTATCTCGCGGGACTGCATGAAAAAATTTCAGCACGCTTACTATTGTAACTAGATTATTGTAAGGTAATTAGATTGGAAATAAAGTAAGACCAACACAACCAGTCGTAAATCCCGTCGCCGTCTTAACATTACAACTACCGTACCCGTCAAACTGACGGATTTTAGTTTTCCTATTTTACATTTATTAATTTCTTTTTTTACAAATATAATTATTTATTGAACTAATTGAACTAATCAGCGTTAAATACAATTATTTATTTTTAAAATATTCAATGTCCGAAACGGTTTTGAAAATAAATAATTTCACTTCAATACTGTATTTAATATACAAAGAAACCGAAAAAAAATCTATTGTTACAATTTTTATAAGAATTTAAAAATATTAATCATGTTAAATGCTCGGTTGTTTTAGTGTTAATGTGCTCGATAGAAATTAGAGGTCTTCGCTACTGCAGATTGCACGGCAAACGTTTTTCCTGTTTTCTTCCTTCCCTCGGTTTTCCTTAATAAAATCGAAATAAATATTAACAGCCCGATTCGATAAAGGGAAATGGAAACGGCCTCTACAACTTTCTAACTGCTCCCATTTTTCAATTGGTCAACAGGCTTACGTAACCGTTCTCAACGAACGACCTTTCGAGTTATTTCCTCCGCGAGAAAAATCGGAGAAGGTAACGATCTCGTTTTAATTGTACCGTGCTGTTCCGGAACTGGGCTCCATGGAATTTTTGTTACGAAATTTCAACGGTGACCTTCACGACTGCTCAATTGAAAGTGTACAGCGCTTACGCAAATGTGCGTGCGCCATAATGACAATGTGTCGTTACAACAGATTTTAAAATAGAAATTATGTCGGTCCAGTTCTGTTTTCATCGTGTTTCTTGTTTTAGAAGGAAGAAGTAGGGCTCGCGAAAGACTTGAATTCTTTATGATCCTTTTAATTTGATCACTATACGTGGAATGATGAAAATGAATAGTATGTTTGTTTATATTATTATGTTACTGGTAATTGCGGAGTTTTTATTCAACCGTTGGTTTGTATACAGTACTGTAAAAACTGTTGTAGATTACATATTTAATATCATTATTTTCCATCAAGTTGCAACATATTTTATACCTTTTGCAACAGGATATTAAAACCTGTAAGCTTGCATTTATTTCCACGTTGTAAAGATACATATTTTACCTACAGATAGTTACTTGATTTTTTTCAGTGCAATGTGCAGTTTGTTTAATGATCCTTATAATTATTCGTATGTACATAAATTAACTCATTTTCGTGGTATTATTACACAATTTATTATGTTTAAGGTATTCACCTTTCCCTATTTTTCTTCTTGACTACTACGAATCATTACGAAGCAATTCGCTTGTACACCGTCTCTAAGGAAGGCAACCACGTCTGCACTCGTGCAAAACAGAAAGTGCAAGTAGGAAATGCAGGGAACAACAAGTGCATACAGGTAAATGTGTTACCAACGAAAGGCAATTTCGTAAGACTGATACGTTTACTAAAATTTCGTAACAAAAAACTTCGAATGTTCATTTATTATTTCAACTGTTAGAAAATAAATATAATAATGTCTCAACGCTATAATTTCTTAATAAATAAATGGAATTTACGAATATTTCTATCGTCGAAAAAAAAATGAATTCAGAACAAAGAAATTATTCAAGGAATCGATTTAATCTAGCAGTGACGTAAAATGTATCCGTGTATACGACACACAATATATAATATAAGCACAATGTAGAATGCACAATTACACATCACTATTTCTTCTCATTCAAGCTGCCTTCTCAACTGCCAGTAGCGTGATTCACACTTTGTTGCCTCTGCTGACGCACGCAACGCCTCAATGTGTAAAAGAGAAAGAAAAAATCATCATAAAAATTACATAATCCTATTCAAATAAAGTGGAAGACAGTGAGCGTTCTATTCTTTCGTTTCAGCTGTTTTCTTCGGGCCATTTAGAAGATACTACATTACTACGGCGCCTTCCTCGATCGCAAAATGACGAAACTGACGCGAAACCAAAGAATAGAACTTACACTGGGTTTCTCACATGACGAGCGAACTCAAAAGCGAAATTCCATTTAATCTCACGAACCTGTTGCCACCGAAATTCGTATTGTTCCCAGGCACGTCCCTTTGTTGCAGCTTAACAGCTGTACACAGCGACGACATTTCGTTCGGTGTCGTCACGCCGACCATTCTTTGGCCACTTGAAATATATTTGGACTTACCTGAGCATAACGGTAAACGCTATTGACCTGTGTTACGGGTTTTGTGATGAAACCAAGAAAATATTGTTTCGAGCTTTCGCGAATCCACTTACACGTGTTGAACATTAGGTTTACGGACATTTATTGTACAATTTATTCTACTGGTCTCAGAAGAAGTGATGTTCATTTATTTGGATTTTGTAAATTAGAGAAAGATTAAACATTTGCTAAATAATGTTTATAAAGTTCAATAAGCGTCACACTGACGCGTTCAGTACACCTAGTGTTAACGTTGGAAGTGTAACAATAGGTGGTCTTGATGAAATTATTTCAAGCAACATCTAAAAATCTTGAAAAGAAGACAATTCATGAATGTTACTAAATTGATAAAAAGATTATTTTCCTAAATCATTATTTAAGAAATTAATTAATAATGTATCAAAAATATTTATTTCAAAAATAACATCAAAACAGTACTAAAATCTTCTCATTTTTTTCATTCTTTATAATACAGTAATACTGATTAAGTATTCCACGATTTCTTCGCGGATTTAGAACATCGGTGCTATTTGCAAATTAGTATGGAAATGGCGTTAAGGGTTACGAGACAAATCAGAAATAAATGTATTGGCAAAGCACCAAACGGTCGTGTCATAATGTACCGGTGTTCGGTGCGAGCATTACTGCATGTGCATTGACCTTCTTCAGTGGAACACAAGGCTGCCGCCATCACGTTCGCGGCGCAGGTGTAACGTTATATGAAGAAGAGTCGCTTGCGTAATACTGTATAATAATATCCGCGCGCGCGTAGAGTCAGTGACTTCGGGGACCGGTAGAAAGCTGTGTTTGACAAAAGGATTTCGGATTTCTTCCGCATTCTGCCCGACTGTTAAATTTTCTGCACTGTCACGTTACTAATAATATCAACGCCGAAAATCACTGGTCTATTGAATAACACAGAAATCTAGATAACGGAGAACTTAATAATAACCGGATACATTGTAATCTTGATTTCCTGTCAATTATGTCTGAGGAAGAATGATTGCTGTTGAATTTAAATTTAGAACTGATCATTGTTCTAGATTATCTCATTATGAAACGTTTAATATAGTACAATACTAAGTGTACCAATATTTTTTTTATTAATTTTCGTAACTGCTTTTCTATGTTTTATATAATAAAATCGATGCAGGATGTTGATGAAAAATAATGTAAACGTGATAATGTTAAATTACAATCCGTTGTAAATTTAGGGGAAAATAATAATGGTCAACAGAAATGGTAGATCATTAAATATTCTTTAATTTAACATTTCGGAATACCATGACATAATCTGCTTACCATTGTTGTGATACAGAAAATGGTTTGTACAATGTTTGTTATCGTCTAAGCGAGTCACGCAAAATGTGTCCACCGGTTTCGACATCGCGGACTATAGTTACAGAACCTGCCTACTTTACCGGAATTTATCGTCATCGTTGAAATCGTCGATTGGTTGATGCAAGGCTTTCATGACCTAACGTCAATTCTGTTCTATATAAGAGATCGGTAACACGTTAGGAATTCTGAGTCCAATGAATAATACTTCCATAAAAAGAATTTTGATCTCATTATTACATATAAGAATAATTTACAATTTAATCAAATTATAAGTAATTACATTACACATTTAAAATTGTGTTTCTTCCTCTCGAGATCTAATATTATCTTCTTCATTCTTTTACATCGAATGCAATTTACTAATTGTTTCGAAGCCTGTGTATTAAGTTTAATTAAACATCTAACTCATTTATAAAATATATTAACAAGTAATCCACTTTTTTTTAATTTGTAATTTTCAAGAAACCGATTATTTATACGACTACACATATATCATTTACATAATTTCAATAAAATTCATACCTGCTCACCAAAAAGAACAATCTTCTACATTAATCAACAGAAATTATTCTTCTCGAGCTTTCACGCGTATTAATAAATTCTACTTAATTACTACTGTTACTTTTGTCTATAAAGAATGTGTGCATCGTGTCGAATAAATTTCCCTTTTCTTATGTTCGTGCTAAAAGCTTTTTTCGCGTATCTCTCTAAAAACGGGTGTTTGAATGGTAAAAGCGGTCGCGTTACAAAGAACAATGTAAATGAACTCGGGCCTGTGCATCCATCAGTTTCGTTCTCCATTGATGATGTCGAGAGCGAGCCCGATCTATGTCTCCTTCTCGCGGCAATGAAAGTAGGTAAGTGCATTTTCTTCCGAGAAACCGGGCCTCGGTGATCGGGAATAAATCATGACCGATAAAGCAGGTTGTTCGCATTATTGATTTTATTCCGCTTATCGAACTTTTGCATTCGGATTGGTATCATCAACGCTAAACGTACCGCGACCAGTTAAATCAGTGGTTCTTAAAATTCAATTGGAAACTCTGCGTTTTATTTTGTTTATTTAACTTTACATTGATTTCTATATTATCCAAGTAATTAGTTTTCCAATTTTCATTTTTCTGCTGTTTCTGCTTCCAATACAAAAAATGCATTATCTGACTAGTTCATCTTTATTTTATAACCACTCATTTAACTGGTTACGGTGGGAATATATATATTTTGTATTGGAAACAGAAACAGGAGAAAAATGAAATTGGAAAATTGATTACTTGGATAATATAGAAATCGACGTAAAGTTAAATAAACAAAAGAAAACACAGAGTTTTCCATTTCATATATAAATATATATATATATATATATATATATATATATATATATATATATATATATATATATATAAAGTGTCGGTACGTTTAGTGTTAATCCCGTTCACTTTCTATATTCTGGAAAGATTTTCTTTTTCAAATACCCAACATTTTTACGAAAATATTGTTTATCAATTATTTTCGCGATTATCCTTTAATCATCGAGTATTTCGAAGGATTCTTTTATTTTGACTTCATTGGTTGATTGTAAACTATGTACCATATGATCAGTTTACAAAAGCACTTTCTAAACACGAAGTCCTGCCGTCATTATCGATGGTATGATAGATGAATCGTTGTTTTGGAATTCGATAGAACCCCGGTTATTCATTATACCCACAGATCCTGAAAGGGAAAGTTCACTTCCTTTTATTTTCACTTTACAGCTATGAAAATGCTTGCAATTCTTTAGAATAACTTGCTAGATTACAATCTCGAGATTTATAAAATTCGAAATCGATCCAATTATTTGAAATCAAATGCTAACGCATTGTTTAGGCGGGTTTCGATTATGGCTCGGACGAAGTTTTCAAATGCATCTTACAGTGAATTGATCAGTTGCAACGGATCTGATAATGTTACGGCGGGTAAATAAAATTAGCGAAAGTCTGAATCGGCCTTCCACTGTTTGAAAGAGCACGGGTGTTCCGTATGCGGCGTGTGAAGTAGCAAAGTCAATTACGGCGACTCTCCCAAATTAAGATGCAGTGTTTTCAAGGTGCTTTAAATACCGTCGATGATCGCGCCGCGCGATATCTCTGTTACTTTCTTCTAATATACGCGAGGATTCGCGCCGTTAGCATTCATCGTAGTCGAAATCGAATGAATTCCTAAATGAGAGGAACAGGCCATTGAGCTTCCTGTTATGGCAGTTCGAGAAATTTTTTTATCGTGCAATTATCATCGAGCAGGGAATTTCTGCATCGCGTTGACGCGTGCGTGGTATTACTCTTTTATTTATCTGCAATTCTATCTATGTTAAGACGTCGAATGTGTCCGATTAACTCTTTAGACCTTTATATTCTATAATTCACGTAATTAATTAGTTCCTTAGATAATGTTGTGATACTCGAATTAATCTGAAGAATTTGTTATAGAAACTGGAAAAGTAGAGCAAGTAACAGAATTATTCATCTGAGGATAAATCATATTGTATACTTTTATACAGAATGTTTTATTAAAGTTACTCCTTCCATTGCAAATATTCTTTTCCTTTTTACAATGAACTTTTTTCTGTGTCAACAGACATTTTCCTGATATCCCAATGAAATAATGGATTTCTTTGGAAACCTACGAGGAATTGTTAGTATACTTTCTTGAACGGAAGAGAGCACCTAATTTTCAGTGTTTCACACGTAAATCAGCGAACGTATTACTTTCAAATAAATTCTTTCCTTCTTTGCATACTCGCATCCATGAAAATCGCATAAAATCCACGTTCGGTTCCCGCCGGGCAATAATTCATTCGTTGCGCCCCTTTATCAATCACGAGCCGAAATGCGACCTAGAGCGAGCGCGGTTTCCCGTGGAACGCTTTAGATCTTTATCGTCGTCGGTCTTATAAAACACATCTTTCAATCGGCGTGCGAGCTCGACCTATATCCAGACAGAACCCAGTCGAATCAACGTTCCGAACCGTCATCGAGTAGATCAGTGTACAGGGGGTTTAAAAAGTTGGTGCCCAACCTTAAAAAATTTTCGAACAGTTCTTTGTACTAGCGAAATAAAATCTATTATAGCGTTCTTACAAATTTAACCCCTTGTCGAGTACTCTAAAGTACAACGACTGATTTGAATTTAATACTAAAACTACCGAACTGATCAAATTCACCTACTTCAGAATATTTATTTCGCAAGTATTTAAATTACAAAGGTGTTTTTGCGAAGGATTTTTAATTAAATTTGTATATTTGTACAGAGCCAATACTAGGAGACTGTACGAATTTCAAGAAACGTATTGTTCTAATTTTTATAAAAAGTTGGAAATAAATCATAATTGCGAAAAGAATAGATTGATATTTGTAGTTTTTAAATTTGAAATTTCTTCCAGAAGTCTGACGTAATATTGCAATGCGAGAGATTACAGTAAAAAGAATCTAATAATCAACAGTAAATATAAATGATTAATTATAAAGTAATACATTTATAAATACAAGTAATAACTAATAATAAAAAACAATGATTGCTGGATTTCTGTTTATTATCACTTTCTACCAAATTTCACCACTAATTTCTTTAACACTATACTTACCGCCGTTTATTCTACACTTTATTCCATTGTTCCTAGAAAATTACATGTTAAATTGCACGAACGTTGCGTGCATAATTGCACGAATCAAGATCGACTTAAATCGTAGCCAAATAATGTTTAAATTCAATATTCGTCAAACTGACGGGTTCCGTATATCTAATGTTAAACGCTCTGTACGCGCTGTCTTTTGCATGATGCAGGTTACGTTCACGCGTGAATCGTGCCGCTACAATTTGGCAATGTCAGGCCCGTGGCGTTCCGATTTGGCAATGGCCATGCCGTGCCACAGCCTCCATGGAATCTAATTTGCGGGTGTTACAAGCCGTACGAAAAGGACGCGGCTCGCTATCCGCGGTAGCCCCCACTATAAGCAAAACCGTTCGTATAGGTTATAAAGGACCGAGCCCCGTACTATACGACTGCACTCTCTCAGTGAAACTCTCGAAGGATCGTTCCAACGGCTACTCGTTTACCTCCACCTCTGCGAGACGCGTGCACCATGAGGATTATAACTTTGGTATGTAAGGCTGATTTTTGGTAACCCTTCACAAACCCAGTGGACTTTTGTAGAGTAACTAACTGGTAGCGTCCAATAAACATATCATTAAAAATCTTGAAAATTACGGTGAAATAAAGTAAATTATTTATTTGTTATTATATTGTACAAGTTTTAAGTATTATTGTTTTATATCGTAGGAAATCGTCAAAATTATGTTGAAATAAAGTAAATAATTTTTTTATTAGTATATTATACAAGTTATAGATGTTATTGATTATATAGGAAAATAATTTATACGAATACATCAGTTTGAAAGTGTACGTGTTGGACAGTATTGAATTAAGGGTAAATTTTGTTTTGGTATATCTTCATTCGCGCGAGCCGGGTCGCGATATATTGTTTCGAGAAACGGTGTCTTTAGTATTTTATTGACACTGTATGCTGATTATTTTTGAAAGATCGTATGTGACTGGAAGCTAAAGTGTTTTATGGTTGTTGTATAATCTGTGTTTTGCTTGTAAACGCCGTGTTTGTGATGCTGTCACGTTCGACGCCTGCTGGTGATTTCAATGCCAGGCAAATCATGGCGTCGGTTTCGAAGTGTCGAAGTTGCCGAAAATTATGCAACCCAGTGTGTCCGGAATACTTTCGATGCACTTTCGTGTATTAGGAGCAATGTATAGTGTTCGAAAATTACAGTTTTGTTTACTAAATTGATATATTCTTATTATTACTATGACTGATTAGTACTTACTTAATATCACCATTAGATTCGCACTAAAAAAATTAGTAATCTAATTTAATTACTAGTAACTTCTACATTAATTATTTTTATATAAACGGTGCTTTTTTACATGATTTTTAAAATTATTTTTGTATAATTGACACTTAGGAAAAAACGTCGGTTCATTTTATATCAAATTTAAGAACAGTTATTATCTGAATAGGAATTTCTTTTCCTTTTTATAAATTAATCTGTCTCTATGTAAAATGCAACTTGAGCAATTAATACTGTAGAAAAATTATGATCAATATCCACATAGCTAATTCAACCTACCCTCATTCCACTAAGGATCCAGTTTTAATTAAACAAAAAACAGATCTATATTTCTCACGAAGATTAATTTCTTCCGCCAACATCGTGCAGCCATTCTCTAAAAAAGATTGAAATATGTCTTAAACAACATTTCTTCGATTTCATAAAAAGACGGGAAGCTATAAAACGTTTTGCACAAAACACTAAATCAATAGTTCTTGTCTACTTTCACTCCAATAAAAAACTCGGTCTTTTCTTCGACAAATTGTCCACGCTAACTAAAGTTTGTTCTAATCAAATAAACAAGTTACTCAAATTGATGAGACGCTGTATACATTATTCAGTTTACAACCATCTCATTTTCTCCCTTCTTTAATTGATGTCTATGAAATTTAATTTAAGCCCGGTGCATTAACGATTGATTAGTAAAAAGAAGAGAGGTTGGCCAATTTCCGTTCTATTTACGTATTCCCCTCCGATGTGACTGGGCTTCGTTATGAATTAACAAGTATGTATATGGAGCAACGCGCGTGTCGCAATTTTGCGTCGTCTTTCGTATTCACGCGTCGCCATTCATAGAAAATTAATCATAATTAACGATACCATTTTCCTTATATATTCAAAGAGGCTTCTGTCTCCTCCGTAATTCCTGTGGGAACTTTCATCCGCCGCGGGTTTCACTTATGAACTTCGCGCGTGAGATCGAACGATTAATTTGTGCGAGAACAGACATACACACCGACAGACGCACATACACAAAAACGTGAGTAAAATCGTGTTTTCTACGTTTTTCCTTAGCAATGTTTGTTCACCCGAGAGAACATATTAATAATTCAAGTTCATTTCTATTTTTCGCATTGTAATATCGTTTTCCTTTACTGGGAAAACACTCAACACGCTCACGTAAACAATTCATTTAAATTTACTCTGTGAAGTGTGTCTTATAGAAAGTTTCCACTCATTCTTTGGGATATTATAATATTTTCTACCTGCAATATTTTCAATTTTCATTGATTCAGTTACAAATACTTAAACCATCGATACATTCATTATTACCATTGTCCATCAATTTGTCCTCGAATTTAGATTCACCGTGTACTTTTAGCGTTTGCCGAGTCGCTTGGGTTTAATTCTATTTTATTAAAGGGGATACGCAAGCCGCCGTCAACGCGTAGAGAGTTAACAAGTTTCGTTGCAGTTGCTTTCACCAATTTAGTGTGATACCTGTCATTTCGAACACTTTTTTTTGCATTAATAAATCGTCATTTAATTTCTCTATTCTAATATTAAGCGGCTCTGTTGAATGCTGATTAATACCACAAAATGCTGGCTCGTGAATTGTGAAAAATGATTATTGTGTTAACTCATAGTTTGAAGAAAGTCTACGACTTTTTATTTCGAACGCGTTACCTCACTAAGCTTATGGATCGATTTCTACAGTGAAAATTGATCGATAGTCTTTTCACTTTCGTCTCACTCCGACTGGCCGATCATAAATAACGGTAGATGGACACAGACGAAATCAATCCACCGTTACAGGTTGTTATGAATATTTCATACATTCTTCCAGTCTGCTTCTTACGACAAGCAGCAATTTCCTTCTCCGTTAAGTCTATTATCTATCGAGTATACAATTCTATTAATAATTCGTTCGTACGATTTATGAAACAAACCTTATTTATGCAGTTCATAATTTTTCGTATCCAATAAGGAGAAACGAGAATGAATTAAATAATTTAGATTTCTCCAATCTTCGAAGTTCCCGACAGTTACGCAACGCCGAAGCGATTTTTCTGTTTACTGATTATAAAATCTGTTCACTGACTTTCCATTGCGCCAGTTATATACAATTTTTAATAGCAAATTCATTTACATCGGGAAACGGAATTTTACAATGTAACCTGAAAACATCTCGCGATTGGGTTGCCTGTAACGTGAAATGTCGTAAATTTTTCTTTTATTATCGGAACTACCGGTTTTATAGCATCGGGACAGTCTTAATTATAAGAAACCCAGGTGCTATAAAATTAGAGACAATTATCACGATTACGCAGCTGAGACGGACAATATATATGAATTCCAGAAAACCGTCGAAGAAAAATAACGTCGCAATAATCACTCGCTTATGACATACGAAAAACCAAGAAAGCACAACAAGCGATGTGAAGAAACGTAATCGTTAATAAAGTCTCCATTTTATGCCCGATCTAATGAAACTCAAAAAACCGCTGAAATAAACATTCCAGTAATTCCACTTTTTCCTTAATTGGGCTGTCTTATAAATTTACTTAAACGGACATGAGTCTCTTACGAAATTTCTATTCAATCATATCCTGTAAATTACTCCATAGAGATCTGTGTTTGTATAATTTTTTCAACGATAAATTATTTAATTTTGCATTTACACATGCAATTCTTCTTTGTTTTACTTTAGTTTTTCATTAAAATGTATTATAGATGTATCTTCTCTGCGTTTGACAAGTATACATTTCATTGTCTGAGTTTATTACACGCACAATGATAGATTTCTGAAACTAAGTTCCACAATTAACGGATCAATGCTCATGACTGAAATCACTTTCATCGCTTAATCGTTAAGTGATCGGCAGAAAAATAATTACGATTAAATGACTCATGAATGAAAACACAGCCGAGTCACTTGGCCGACTGTCAATCACAATCGACGCATTCGAGACGTGTCCGATGATAATAACGACGTAACGATTTTGATCGCGTCGCTAAAACCCAGTTTCGTCTCTTAGAAAATCGATGGCGGAGAAACCGTCCGACAATAAATTGCGAAAGCGAGGTTAATACGTACAACCGCGGGGGTAAATCACGGCTGCTTTCGTCGAGCATAAACAGCCATCAGCCATCGGATCCGCGCTCTCTACCTATCGCGGAACAGTGCTGCCTTTGCAGCCGGTTGCAAAAATAGTCCCCAGTTCCCGGCCGCAAATTAGTCGTTGTTCAAGCCCACTTTACGATCGTTTTTTCTCGTTGCTCAACAGGAAGGAAATTGCCCCCGGGGCTGCTTAATGTGATTCAACAATTAAATCGGCGTTATGCGTTGCTTAGTAGCTGTCTTCGAAGACGCACAACCCAATTCGACTCGCGGAGAAATTGACGGTGCTACTTCTATACGCGTAGTCATGCAATTATGTGTTATATCATTTCATAGAATATAAATTATTCGAGTGGTTGATTTAATATGACAGATAATTGTTCATTGACGTGTTCAGTCACCGCGAGAATCTTTTCCGTAGGAGGGAATTTAATAATTAGAGAAGTATTAGATTACCTTGGGGAATATGTTTTATAATAGTAATTCGATAGTATGATCGCGTCTGTGTTCTCTAACAGTAAGATTTTATGAGTTTTGCACATGTTTCGAATGTAGTTTACGGTCGTATCTTTAGAGTACTTTGTCCGCGGAGAAACTGGAATTTGGAATGTTATAGAAAATTCTGGGCATATAGTGTCAATGAAAGTGTTAACAATATACATGTAATATTAGTTCTAGTGATAGTAGTAAATACAATGTCTTGAAGCATGATCAGTGTGTAATGACAATGGGGCGCTCTGAATTTAAATGAAGGAAGGATTTTGGAAATTAAAGAAATAGTAGCAAAGAAGGTTTGAAACTTTGAAACTTCGAAACTATGAAATTTTGTAAATTTAAGAATTGAGAAATTTAAAGGTACTGAATCCCAAACGCTACAACTTAAAAGGTAATTGAACATTTTCCGCGGAATGTCAATGGAATCCTGTTTACCATTATGGTGATCGCGGCCTCGTTTTCCACTAGTCGGATCGTGTAAGCGATCAACAAATGGGACAAATCGGAAATGTCGAAATATATCCGGCGAGTATCTGTCGAAGATTTAAGAGAGAACCGGTGTGTAGTGCAGAAATGGCATGGCAGTCACGGGTTTCCAGTAAACGGCGTTTTAGCCAGCGCGCGCGCTTTCCCATTTCAGCA